TTCGTGTTTAATTGCAGGTGCACGCGTCTGCATGTGGGTATGTGTGTGTATGGATTTTATTCAAACACAATATTCTTTTTGTCCAATTTCATTCTTGCTTATTACACTCGTATTACAGTTGCTTATTACTCTTATTATACTCAGCCACAGATGTCTTCAATTTTTCAAACAAACCAAGGTTTTTCTCCCTTCAGGGTCTTTGCACAAGCTTATTCTGTTGGCTAGAAGGCTCTTGTTTCCACTTCTTGTATGACTACCCTTTCTCATTTTTGTTCAGTTTCAGCCTAAATGATATCCCTTTAAAAAGTAACTTTCTTTACAACACTACGTAAAGTAGATCTCTGCTTTTTCTTTGTTCTCTTCTGTCTATACTGTGTAGTTTTCTTCAACTCAGTTTTCAAAATTTATATTATTGACTCATTCTATGTTTTTTTATTATCCCTCTTCCTCGTTCAGTTCCATTGGAGAGAACACTTTTTTTGTTCTTTTCACATTGTCTCCCCAGGTCATATTACAATACTTAGCATCTTGTAGATACACAATAAATACTGTTCAATAAATAAATGAATGATTTTTCATTTGTGCACTCTGTGTCTGTGAATAAAACAAGTGTTTCCATGGTAATATCTGAGAAACTAATTATTGAAATATTTGTCACTGCTAAATCAGAATCATGATTCTAAAATTTTGTGGATATCCATTACTACATGACAAGCATTGGCTAGATACATATCTATAAGTATGGGCTATTATCTTTTTTGACCTGTGATATTCCCATGATAAGCAAACTTTATATTGCTGCAGTATTGGTCAGAGATAGAAGGGATTAAAAGCGATAAACCAAAGTATGTTTTTAACCCAGACGTAAATAACTTGATGCTAAATAGAACATCTCGACTTCTGTAGATGGTGATGAAGCTCAAATTATACTCCACTAGATTTATTTATAGTAACAGGGGAAGCTCCTTCCTGAAGGAAAAATAGCTGAAGAGGTCCGTTGCTAACTAATTCTCAAACAATAAATATTCTCTGAGACTAAACAAGAGACCTTGAGTCACCCCTGGAAACACAATATTTTCAGTTCCGTCCCTGTGTCAGTGAACCATCTGGAGCACATTACCCTAATTCTGTATGTATGGTAAGCAAGAGGTAAGCACCTGAAATCTTAGAAAGACCCTACTGAGGAGACAAGATGTAGAACAGAGTTATGGAAGGCCCTCTGTCCAACACTGATCACTGATGTTCTCTATTTCTCTTTCATGTTTGGTTTTGAGTATGGTGTTATCATAGTGAAGGAAGATACTGGTTTCTCCTGAAGGAGCTGTTACCTGGTCCTCCACCCATCCCACCAGAGTACCATTCTCTTCAGACAGAACCTGGTTTATCCCCAGCTGACTCCTTTTCAGCACTTGATAGATGTTTCCTATCTCTGGTGGAATGTGTCCTATACTAAGCGGTCTTTTCATTAAGATAGTTCCATTTCCTCTCATCTCTTCAACCTCCTTTCTGCCCAGAGGATTTGAGGTATTTTCTTGCAATTCTACCACATCTAATTTTCTCAAGTGCCTACCAGAGGGAAAACTCTATGAGGGAAAAAGACCGAAGTTTGTCTGCCACTAAATCCCCAGTACCCAGCCAAGTCTTGGCATACAGTTTGTGTTCGACAAATATCTACTGTCTGGTCAAAACCTATCATCCTATTAGACACATGAACTTTCAGATATCTTGCCTGCTAATTTTGAAATCCTCAACCCATACGCTCATTTCTGCTTTGGCCATTAAAGAGGAGCAAGTGGAGAGAATCTTTTTATTCATCCTGTTAAACTGAGGGCCAGGTAATTTGTAGATGACTCTATCATGGCATTATTGAATTGGAGACTAAAGGTATACGTCACCTTATAACTTTTAACTTAAGATAAATTACCTGTAACTATTGGGGGAAAATTGTTTTAAATAAGAGTAACTAGCCATCAGAAAATACCACATCAACATCTAATTTTGAAGTGGAGGGATTATTTAAAAGGATTCTAATCAAAAGGGATTCCCGTTGATTTTTTATAATATTGACTGTGAACTCTCTTTGTCATGGGTGGTTGTTACTCTCTTAAGGGAACCAATTCAAGAAAATGTCATCTTTTACTTCAGAATTGTGGGAAGGTGGGAGGAAGAGACAGGACTTCCAGTTCTACTTTCAAAGTACACCTATGCCAATTTAACACAGATGTACCATGACCTAGAGATCTATCTTAGAGGAAGGTGGCCTCCCTTCTTTCTTTTTCTTTTCTTTTCTTTTTTTTTTTTTTTTGGACTCTTTGTTTAAATGAGTCCAGCGGAAAAGAGTCAAGTGCAGTAGAATTCTCTGCGTTCATGTTGATACTGGTTTTCATTTTGTGAGATGTTTTAAAGAACTCTTTACAAAGCCTCACTCAATCCAGAAGATTTTTTACGGATTGAGTTTTTTTAATGGCTTGTGCTTGCTTATTGCTAATGATTTTCAGCTGCATCATCTCCCAGGAAGCTGACCCCCTCGAGTTTAGCCTTAAATCCATATCTTCCAGGCAAACTAGACATTTCAAAGCCACCTGCACTCCTTTCTCTGAGGCTGTTATAAAGCAGACATTAATTGTTGAAAAATATTGAGATGACTATGAATTTAGTGCTAATTCAGTCTTTGACATTTGTTTTGCATGAATGTGATAATGAATATTCTAATTTCAAAGTGAGTCAGCCATTTGTATGGTATTATGAGACATGATTGAAAGTGTATCTATGTTGAACTTATATAAGTGAACACTATTTAGTGTGGATAACAAAAATGAATTTGGGAGAATGTTAAATATAAAAATGAGATACTTGAGCTATTAAAAGTGACTTAGGAATGATATAATGAATCAAACATGAGTTCTGACTAGCACAAAGGATTCAAGGAATTCAGGAGCTATTTGAACAACTGCGTGTGTATCAACCAGTCAGCCATATGTCCAAAAATTATGCTGAACAGACAAAGATCTGATTATCTTCATGTAAATATGAACTCTAATAAACATGCCTAAATAGATTCATTTGAGGATAAGATAGTGCAGTGGACACACACAACATAAACATTTTTTCACAGAATGAGTCATTCATGTTGATTTGCAAAAATCATAAAACAAAGAATCAACTTTTTTTTTTTATTTTGATCTTGCATAGGAAAGGGGATGAAACAGTGCATTTTTATCGGAGGATAAAAACTGCTGAGGAATCATTAAAACCTTGGAAACAGTCAAAATCCACAGGGTAAACCTCCAGATTCCAGGAGGTCCAAAGGCATGCATGTCAATATCACAAGCGAAGCCAATGTGTAATTTTTGAAATATCGATGCCATTGACTCTCTGAACTTGTGTGATGAGTTTTGCATGAACAGTGGAGTTTTACTTAAATTCTCAAGCATTTGACAGTTTCTCTATGATCAAAAATGTCTGGCTTATAACTCTGTGATTGGCTACATTACCCCAGCAACAATCTGGCCCACACAACCATATCCTTGAAACTGACCTGCATATATTTTGATCAGACTCTCTCCACCAACTGCATTCACCAACTTAGCTAAATGATATTTGCTGCCAAGTATATATACACTCCATCCTCAAAGGATCACAAATAAAAACACTCAAAAGATAAGACCGATAGAGGGCAATTCGACATGATGAAATTAAGAAACATTGAAACTAATGTTAGAATATTATTTTTAAAAAGAGGTCCACCTTTGGCATATGACTGCTGAAGGTGAATGTTTTGATTATAACGACACTTATGATGTCTAAGTGTTTAAAATTACTCAATTTTATTATTAGAATTTTAGCTTTTACTTTGTATGTGTGCACATGTATGTGTATCTTTTTTTGGTAGATGGAAACAATGCCAATCCTTCAGATACAGGAGAGTAGTCTCGGGGAAAATGCCCACTGTTTTATAGGAGAGTAGCAACTTGATCTTTTGTAAGAGTTAAATAAAAGTATAGAGCCACAGTTCTATTCCTTTCTTAGGTGGAAGAAATCTGACTCTTGTCAGGTAAACTGCTCGGCAAATAGTAAGTTGAATTCCTAACACCCACGTGAGGCACAAGAATAGTTGGATTAACAACTCCAGTGTCATGCTGTCAGCTGCTGTTTATTTAAATTAAAATGTCACCATCCAGAAATAAATTAGGAAGTTGAAAAACGATAAATTTCTTTAACATACAGTACTTTGGCACCTTGTTAAAATAAGTCTATTACATTTGTGTTTTTTAGAACTTTACATAGACTATTTCCATTTTGACATTGAGTATAGCAGGTTTTGTTTTCGTTCTTCTTTCTTAACTCTCTCCCTCCTTCCTCCCTCCCCCTTCCTTCCTTCCTTCCTCTCTCCCCGTCTCTCTCTCTGTGTCTGCATTGTCCTATCTAAGCTACATAAGACAGTTTAAAAGAAAAAGAGTTCCATCAATACACATCAATACACAATTATCAGATGCTTTACTTGCATGTCTAAAACATGTCGTTCACATTATGTCTATCTAAATGCAGCTACACCTTTACAGATTTAAAACTTCACTTCCTGCAATTGGTCTTCCTAGGGTTCCAATGTTATGTGTTATTTCTACATTTGATATGAAACAAACATGCCTTCCCATGGGCTCTTCCCTCACTTCCCGTCATTTGAAGGTTAAAATTTTGGCCCCATCACTCTAAGACCTCCCCTGTGATCATCCATACCCCGAGATATTTTAAGATAGTTTTTTGGCTCGGGGTTCATGGCACAGCAGGTCATTCCGTTTGAGGAGCCAATTTGGTCATAAGTAGGAAGAGAATGAACATCTCTGAAAGAAGAATACTCCCTCTCTGTTCCCGTTTGGATGTTTCTTGCCTATGACTTTGCAGATTGTGAATGATGCAAGTGCACCCTATAATGCAGGTTAATCAAATATGAGACAGTTGTATACAAACATATTCAGCATTAACAACATGGAGATATTTACTTGGCCGGGTTTTCCATTTTCACATAAAAATGCCTCATATTCGGATGCGAATTCAGGGGCGTTGTCATTGACATCCAGCACTTTAATAGCAACAGGTACTCGGGATATCTGACTGTGGTTCCCTATGGGAAGGAAAAAATAACATCAGCATTGAGGATATTGCATTTTAATGTGCAATTCAACTTTCTTCTTGAAAGCTTGTGTGTCTGTTTCAACTTCCCTTAATTAGGGTGTTTTCAACATGGTGATTATGGAATCTGACCATTCAGCAAGGAAAAATAGCAAGTGCTTGGCTGCTTAAAAAAAAGTATAAATTATTATTCCAAACACCATTTGCTGGAGCTTAGCTTGATAAAGACCATCTCTGAATAAATTAAAAGAGGTTTCCTTGATGAAGAAAGCTTTATTTTATTGATAAAGCCCATTGTACAAAAGAAAAGAATGCTGTATTGCAACAAAGATTTATCTCTTTCTTTATCTTGGGTAGACAGCCCATTTCTGCACTATTACTTGTTCGACTGACTATATATTAAAGATGAACATCAAAACCTGAAAAAAGGCTAGAACCAAATCAGTTGTTGAGAAGGTATCTTTAATACTGATAAAAGGGATAATCTTAAAGAAAGGGAATCATATCTTTTATGAATTTTATTTTTTATTCAAAATTGACCTTGGGATCTTTTTGGGTTAAGATAAGCCCAAGTTATTTTAATATGTCATTTTCATAAAGATTTTCATCAGTGTAAACAGATAATAATCTTTTAATCTTTCCAGGTCAATTCCAGTAGCACAGACCTTAATCCTTAAGCCTTAAGTCCTTAAATTTAAAAAATTATACACACACACACACACGTGCACACACACGCATACACACACAAATATACACACATGCACATACACACACAAATATGCATGCACAGAAATCTGGCCCATTAATACACTGCTGACTTGGCCCACGTGATGATTTTTCATTTCTAACAAATGCAGTGCCACTCGACTCTGTACCATGCAATAACCTTTTGATCGCTTGTAAATTATACAGAATGCATTGAAAATGGCCAATTATTTATTTGTGTTTCTGTGGCACTGAATATTTATAAGCAAGCTAGGAGGGGAAAAATCTTTGGCTTTTGTGTATGAAGAAACAGACTTGTATTTGATATATCGGACTCTTCTTTTTGACAGCTGGTTAAATTCAGACCTCTGAAACCTTCAAATACTCATGCCAAATAATCATAGCCATGTTACAGTTTTATAGTTGGTTAACCCCACTGGCAATGCTACAAGATTGGAATTTAACTACCATGGCTATTCTCCAATATTCTAATTTGATTAACTATGGATGGATGAGTATTATCCTTTGGAATTCCAACCACCTCAGTAATGGAACAAAATCTCAATTCCCAAAAATCACACCAGTGGCTTTAAATGTCCTTTTTCTTTTACCTAATATGTCCTTTTTCTTTTACTGTCTTATGTCTAATGAATTAATTCATTCCCATTCAGAGAGGAGGCATGCAGCTCCCTAGTTTCAATGGAAGGGAAAATTTAAAAAAGTGTAACACATGACTCTGAGGACAAGAAACTTACATTTTACCCTTTATCTACTTGAATCAGGTAGATAAATGAGTTGTAAGGTATTTGAAATAAGGTCTGATTATGTCCTTAAAGACTTACATCTCTTTTCTAGTCTGACCATGAGCTGAATAGCAGCTGCTGAAGAGTAAAAGGGAATCCGGTGTTTGCAGGAAACAAATGTTTGGAGCCCCATCTTTGCCTCCCACTACCAACATGACTCTGAACATGTTATTTAAGCTCATTTTATTCCTGAGGACACTGAAACTCAAGACCTTGACACCTTATTTGCAGAACTATTATACACATTATATAAGAAGAATTAGAAGCGCCCAGATCATATTGGGCACATAGTCAAGTGTATCTTAGACTTTACCTTTTATAACTGGAAACATCAGCTCCGTGCATATTCAGTGTGCACTATGTACAGTGCAAGATATTTCACAGAATCATCTCATTCAGTCCTTACTGAAGAGCTATGTAATAGGTAATGTGATCCCCATGTTGTGGATTACTGATGTGGAGACTAATATTCACAGGGCTACATGCCTTTACCAATATGACTCAAAAATGAACTCCAAGACTCCAAAATGTAGTTTTGGCCGTCCAAACATGAGTCATTTTCGCAGTATTATACTGATGAAGTTTAAAACAAAGTATATTTGCTTGTTGTTTGTTTACTGGTAAGGTCACTAATCACTGCCATTTCCCCAAGAATGCTTATAGGCTTGTTATAAATTTTTATTTCAAGTTTGACCACTCTTTGAAGTTTGAGTACAAATATAAAAAATCAAGCTGGATAAATCTAATGGGTTGTACCACGACTGATATTCTCAGAATTGCACTAATAATCTGCAAGCCTCTCTGAGAAACTGAACGATTGAAATTCCATATTTTTCCTCATACTTCGATTTTGCCCAAGGTCTCTTCAGTTGATTGATTTTATTTTGTGATTCTCTGTATTTCAACTCTAAGGACTATTGATTAGTTAGTTACATAACATTCACTTCTTGCAGTGCCACATCTTAGACCAACTCTTGTGTATATAAGTGATTAGAGGAGCCTTCTATTATGTTTTAGTCTCGTTAAGCATTCAATTCATAGACAATGATCAACATAGACTTGAACAGTGAATAATAGATGCATTGTCTTCGAAAACTGCAGGTACAAGAAAAAGCTGTCGTACTCTTTAAACATGATTTTGTGCCTGGGGAAGTGAAGAGAATGCTGAGCTTACCGAGTTAGAGTCACTGAAAATGGCTGATTGGGCCAAGTTTACGAAATATGATATTCTTTGTCTTCCCTCTTTCTCATGTCTTGCGCGCGCACACACACACACACGCCACAGGCAAACATGCATATACAGATTCTACTCTCACTATTGTGGCAAAAGGATAATTATGCCAAGGCACATGTTCTTAACTTCTCTCTTCTCTTTTCTTAATCTCACAGTTTTAATAAACTGCAATTATCTCTTAGATCTAGATGGCCAGCAGGTGGTAAAACTCAAGCATAGAGGCTAGAGAATCTCCGTGAGCTTCTTTCTGGGATAACTTTCAACATTAAAGTAATATATGCTTTCTCTTATTGTAAGATCTGGGACAGGGTGGTGGTTAACTATCCAGGGGCCCAGATCCCTAGAATAATACCATCTAATCCTTTTCTGTTGTTAGAAGTAATGTAGGTTTGGGAGCTATCACTTAATATTGTTAGAAGATCACGAGCATAGGGGCTATATCATATGATCACTGGCGAGTCACTGAAATATTTTTTGATGAGATTTACAATTTTAAAAGCTAGGATAAAGCTTACTGACAAGAGAAGTTATGGTTTAATTTTGTTTTCTTAAGCAAATGAATGTCTCAGACATTTACTTTATTTCTTGAAACTGCTAAATCAAGGAGAAAAACAATAAAATATAATCAAACAATAAACTGGTACCATATATCCCCAAAATATCCCCAAAATGTGTTATCATTCTCTGTATTAGATGAACATGCACAATTGAAATTATTTCAACTTATAATTCTTCACACAAGTGTCATATTTAAATGCTGAAGATTCACTTTTATCTAAATTAATGAAGTGATGGGAGTTCAAAATTTAAAGATATTATAGAGCAATAAAATTAATTAGATAAGCTTCTAAGGAAATTATTCATGTCCTTTGTGACTGGCCCCAAAATGTTTGCCTTTCATCTGATACACAAACATTAAATATAAAGATATTATAATTAGAAACTTGATTAGCATTCGTTAAAGATTAATTTTCTAAACACAGGAGATGTGACAAAGTGGTCTGGAAGGAAAAGCCCATTTCAATTGGCCACAAAAGTTGACTGTTTTCACATAATGATGGAAAAAAGGCTGAAATGGCACCTACTATAAACAACTCCTTGACTTCTACCATTTGAATAGTAGTGACTTCCTGTCACCTCTCTGTCACATAGCCTCATAAATTGCCCATTAATTTTGCCCTGTTATAATCAAAGGTAATGGAATACTGCCAAGTCTGCGTTACTTGGGAATTTGCTTCTAACTAGTTTCCATGAGCTGCTGTTTTTGCAGGCATCGATTGAAATAAACAGCCTCTCCTTTTCAGGCTATAAGAGAGAAAATTGATTTGACAAATTTAGATATACTGGTGGGTTCAATAAATAATTCTTGAGCCTTCTACGAGTGGAAGGCATGAGCAGTAAATTACAGTCAACGGGGGGAATGCAAAATAGTGAATTTATAATTGAATAGGGATGAGAGGAATGCTGAAAGTTTATAAAACAGGAAGATTCTAACTGAATATATGATTGATAGAAAAGATAGCAACTTAGGAAATTTAAAATGAAACTGATGGGAATTTCAAAGGTCTTGGAAAATAATTTCAGTCGTGAATTTAGGCTCTCTGGTGACTAAAGATACAACTTTTTGATGTACATTTTGCCCATAAATGGTGTGATAATTTCTAAATCATTAGTTATGGTTTATTAATTCATAGATTATTAGCATAGAAACAAGGTGGAATATAATTAACCAGTGGACACCAGGGTAGAAAATCTCTTGGGACTTTTTAAAAATTTTTATTGGACAAATATATATCACTTATATGTGGAATCTAATAAAAAATGGTACAAATGAACTTGTTTACAAAATAGAAATAGACTCACAGATGTAGAAACGAATCTTATGGTTACTGGGGGGAAAGGGATAAATTGGGAGATTGGGATTGACATATACACACTACTATATAAAATAGATAACTAATAAGGACCTACTGTACAGCACAGGGAACTCAATATTCTCTACAAAAATATTCTGGAATATTTTTGATAGGTTTTTCTCTTTACAGTATTATTTTTATGTGTTACCCTTTCACTAACATGGCAACTGTATTGATGCACCAGTTAAAACACAATCTGTTGTCTCCCTCAAATACATACCAAGAAATTTCAACATCAAGGGAGCAGTTGACCACCATAATTTTAATAATTTTTCATTATATGATTGTGAAGATTCCAGCAAGCCAGGCTGTAAAGAGAAGTCATTCTATTTTA